CCATCCCTCTTGATATGTGTACAAGTAAGGTGAGCCATGGCCAGAGGCGCTAAAGCAAAAGTATTTTAGGATATAAAACCCTCTTCACTTTTAATTTTATAATAAAATGTGTATTTAAATTAATCGATATTATGATGAGATAAACCATCTTTTTATACAAACATTATGGACATATTGGACCAACCGACAGATAAATCTCAAAAAAAAATCTATAATCCCAAAACTAATCGCATGATCATTATAAATGGGTCAATGTATAATAAATTGCTATGTGAAGGCTATATGCATTGGAAAGAGAAAGAACTCTTAATTCTGCCATTCAATGAAATGCCAATATTGAGAGAATACCTTTCTTTTATATCTAATGAGATCGCATATGATCCAGAAAAAAGTTTACTTATGTTAATTAATGGAAAAGTAAGTTTGTTAGAAATTTTACTCAAAGTATATAATGATAGTGCTACAAACGAGTTATTAAAAATCGACTGGAATAGTAAAAAAACGCAGGAATAGAGAAGTAATGTACTTATAAAATTCCTCCATCACCCGAATTTAGCTCCTTCAAAACATAGACCAGGTGCTTTATATGATGCGTTCACTGAGGCAAATGTTTTAGGACCAAAACATATATTAGCTCTAGCGTGAGCACTTTATTAAAATGTGATCACAAAATAGGTCTTAGACCTTAAGTTTGTTTATAGCTTTGGAATGAGGATTCCGTGGCTATTTTTTTTGCTTATTCTATCTACCTGCAGATTTCAAATTCTGTAAAACCTAGGTATTTCCAGCCAGAGCAGGTGGGGTCCCAAAGGGGCTACCTATTTAAGTTATAATATTTTTCGCTCCCTTAACCTAAACAAGAACCGTCTCTGATATTCCCCTTTTCGAAGAAGTATAGCTCCGAAAAAATTTTTTGAATTGAACTTTTTTCCTAGAATATATAATCTGAAAACTACAGATTAATCTAACACTCACCCTATATTCTATTCACCACATCATGTCTGCTATTACAACCAAGTTCGTCACAGACCACAAACTCACCAATGAGATGAGTCTCGAAGAGCTTAGCCAATATGCGCCGGAAATACTTGAGCTCTTAACAACTGGCACACTACTAGTAGATAAAGAGAAAAGGCGCTAGGCCCGTAATCGCCTTCAAAAAGGGTATGAATTTAGCAAAGAACAAGCATTTGCATTGATTCCTCACGAGAGAATTGGGCGGAGTAAAAGCCAAGTAACTTTCAAAGAAGGAGGGGATGTGAATATATGCTTAGCATCTGATACCACTCTAGAAGGGGAGACTATCAAACAAACGGCTCAGCGTATTATGAAAGATAAACTTGGTGAAAAAGATGTAAAGACAATATCTAGAACCTTAGTCGAAACATCTTCTGATGCCGTTGTTGCCTTATCCCGCCTCTCTAGGCTTCGAAGAGAATTACGGCCCCTCAACACTTCAGAAAAAATAATTTCTGCTACATTGAATCCGGAGGTAACTAGGTTATCCAATAAAGTTCAAAAGGAGCGTAGTGAGCAACGCGAAAATGAAGGAATAGATTTTCCAGACCACTTCTCGTTAGAATTGGTCAAGGAAAGATTGGATGAGTACGATGTATCTAATATATCTGACAAACAGGCCCTAGCCAATATAATGATAATGCTCTGCATTCGTCCTGCTGAAATTAAAAACTTGCATATATCTAATGGGGCTGTAACTGGATATGCAAAAAACCGAGGTCAACAGGATATTCCTCGGGTGTTTAGATCACTAGAAAAGAATAGGGAGCGGGCTAAGCAACTCCTTACTTGGATTCAGGATAATATTTGTTCTGGACAGTTAAAGGACCCAGGAAAACTTGGATCTACGTACTTAAGTACATTTCTGAAAAAAGACAAATTTATTCCTGAAAGTGGTGAACCATTACTTCCTAGCTCTTTACGCAAATTAGGGGCAGTATTTGCTTCTGTAGCGTATGGGCCTAAAAATGCATCAAAGGCTAATACTTATACCAGTAAGGCATTAAGGCATAGTCCCGACAACCACACTTCTCCATCTAAAAGATATACTATAGTCAATATGCGGAAAAGAGGAAAACCATATAATCAGGCAAGGCCATTCTGCATTTTCAATGAAAACTGATTACATATATAGGTTAGATACTGATTATTAAATTTTATTTTTTTCGCTTGAGATAATATATATCATATATAAAATATCACAAAAATGGTAACCGATCAAAATCATTCATACATCGACAAGCATGATAGTTTATCCAGTACTCGGATATTTGGGCTAGATGAGCAAAATGTGAAAGTGTATAGTGTGCTTTCTAAAGAGATTAGAGCGTTAGATAAAAAACTGAATGATTATCATTCTAAGTATAATAGCTTAAAAAAGACAGTAAAAAGATTGGAAAGAGATCTGGGGTCCCAAAAAATCAAATTAGACGGTCTGGACGAATGTGTAGATAGAGAAACTGTGGTTGACTTAATACATGAAATAGTTCCCTCTTTGATTAATGAAAAAGGTAAGAGTTCATCCGATCCATCCGATTCATCCGAAGAATCTGATTCAGTTAAGATAAGAGAACGAAAGGCTGTTCCTTATAAGCAACGAAGAAAGGCACAACTAAGAAAGGTTAAGATAAAGAAAGCTATTAGCAGTTTGAAGTAGTGATCACTAGTTGTCCACCGTTTTCCTAATGCTATTCCCCTTTTTTCTCGCAAGCTCGAAAAAAGATATATGGTTAACTGTTTCAGAAACTAAAAATCTGTTAACTAACTATATCTGGCTTCGAGCAAGAATTGCAAGAAGGCAGGATCACAATTGAGAGATATATTTTTATATTAATATTTTTTTTCTTATAAATTGGCAGTGTCGAAGTGAAATAAAAATCCCGCTTTCTCATGATTAAATCACTCAAATCCAGATATATCGGTAATCCGGATATATCGGTAACCCAGATCTTTTTTCGAGCTTGCGAAGCCTTAGTCAATAAAATCTATGTGTTAAACATGTCCAATATTCAAGAATGGAGAAAAAATAGTTATGCCCGATACATGTTGACCGAATATGGTTTAAACTATATTAATAATCTAAAAACACCAGAAGCTTGATTACAATTTCACATTGTTTATTAAATCAAACCCGAGTTCATCGTATTCGAAAAGATTTAAACCTTTCACAGGATGAGCTAGAGCATCCAATAATACGTTGTGTTCTAATACTCCAAATGAATTAGATCTAGAAAATGCGACAAATAATCTATTTTTTGCTTGCTTAGATAAATTAGAAAGGCGCATGGTAAATAGCCTAAGAAGAATAAAACGTTGACGAGCTTCCTGGTCTCGATAAAGCTTTTTCAAAGCATCTTCACCAAAACATCTTTCATAATCCCATCCGGTAAATTTTTTTCTAGGGTCCGAGTCCCAATAATTGTCCTGATCGTCATCACTATCTTCATCATTACTATCTTCTTCGTCGATGTCAGATTCGCTATTGTCATCATTATCCATGTTGACGGGTATGACTTCATTATCTAATAATCCCAAAGCCTCCAAGAATTTGTGTACCTCAATCTTATTACCAGTACTAATATCAGAATAAGTTTGTTCCATAACGATAATATACCAAAATACCTTATCTTCAATTTAGGTTATTTAGCTTCTCTTGTCCCGCAGATGAGGTCATGTGATTTAACTGCCTGTGTTATATAGCGGGTCATGTATTTTTGCAAATCTATAGGGAATAGATCAATGAATAATTAATCTGCCAACTTTTTTTCAGAACATTCTGGCATATTACACCTATTATGAATCTTTAAATTAGTATTACGCAAGTCAATCCGATGTCTCTGATGTTAGAATGGGACAAGAATGGAAATTACGCCAGCGATTTACAGATCTGATCCTACGAAATGTAATGGGCACTATAGCATCATCCATTCTACATAATAAAATTCCATTACGGATTATTGGTAGATTTGTATGGGGTATGAATTGGGGTTTAAAATGACATAGTTATGCAAAAAAAAACGCGTGCGATCTTCCAGATCTTGTATGATCTTAGCAATAAATAGTATATTTCTCGGTGATAACTTCATCTTTATTACTGCATATTAATTTGGTATAAAACCCTAACTGGTAATCGTCAGATTTTCTTTAAAGCACTATTGTTAAATGCGCCCAAATTTGGTGAACAAATCACCAAATCCGAAATTAGTATCTAATTTTTTTAGTCGTGGAGGATACACTATAAAATAAGCTAAGTATAATAAAAGTTTGTTGTAAGAAACTTATCTGTACTTGCTTCACCGATATCATCATGTCCCTTGTTAATCTCCAAAACTTTGCTCTTAATATTTTAAAAGAAATGAAACATGATGCAGTACAAAATATCGAAGTTACAGAATTGCCACCATGTAAAATATGTAATAAAAAAATTTTAACAGTTAACTTTGAATCATTTACAATACTTCCATGCGGTCATGCGTATCATAGGAAATGTATTGAAAAAAATTTTTTACTTACAGAAGAGAACAAATGCCCTATTCCTGATTGCGACAAAATTGTTAATCCAGTAATATCTGAATGAAGGTTTTCTGAATCATCTCAGTCTAGTGGAACTTCGGCTATTGCAAATATGTTAGGCAATAATCTTGGGTTAAATTCACCAATGAATGTATCACCATTATTACCTTTATTTAATGAGACTACCCAGAAAAAACGTACTAGGGAATCACCCGCATCTACTGAAAAATTGTCTAGCAAGAAGGCGAGAAAAACTGGCGGGAAGAAGGTATCGTCTATGTTAAAAAAACTTATCGAAGAATTATTAGCTGATACACCTGTTCCCACTATTGGAGAGAACTTGGAAAAAGCAAATGAAAGTGCAACCAGTATTTTTTTGCAACTCTCCGATAAGATTAATAATGCCGAAACTAAAAACGAAGGTGCATCTCGAGGTCTTATTTTCAGCTATTTTGATTTTGGGGAAGCTGTATTTAAACGATACAAAGAATTAAAACCCGAACATGGCAAGGATGGATCTCAAGCATTAGTCAAGAGTGAGGTTAGAGAGGCGATTCCTGAGGCAAAATGACGAAGCTTTGCGGAAAAGGATAGAGAGATCTGAAAAGGTTTATAAGCTTTTTAATAGTATAGGCAAAGAAAAAATATCACGAATAAAATCCACCCCTCCAGGTTTTATCTTAAATCTAACTAAGGATGAAAAGGATTATATAATGGCCGAAATCTTGAAACGAAAAGTTTGTTAATATACTGTGCCATTTCTGCTGCGCAATTAAGTCGAGCCTGGACACCGTGTCCAGACTCTACCATCAGAAAAAACAGAATTTCGTTCACGTGTATTCTCAAACATATAATAAAGCATTTGCATATCCCGCCCATATCGGGCTTGATTTTTTAAATGTGTATAACTGATTGCCAAACATCATGGAAAATAATTTCCAAGCCCGGACACCATGTCCAGACTCTACCATCAGATAGTCATATGTACAATGACTTACGAAGTGCCTTAACGGCCGGGAGATAAATTTAACCTGAGCTTGTATGTGTGTCCAACGGAAAAATATAGGTTTCGGGAGATAAATTTAACCAGATGCTGATCCAGCTTCTGCCCAGTTTTGACGAGCTCGGACAAGCTTGTCCAGACTCTACCATCAGAAAAATAATATATTTTTTGCACGTGCATTTTATTCGTCCCGAATTCCCGTTATGCTTATCCAGCTAAAGAAAAAAAATCCGAAATTTGTTTGGCTGTGATTTATCATTATCAAAAATAAATTTTTTCGGAGTAGAGATATGTGAAATTTTATCTAAAAAATTTTCTGACTACGTGCTTTTTCTATTTCGAATTTATGAGAAAATAGGGCTTATTGTTATAAGCATAGCTAATTTGTGAGACGGGGCACAAGTAGAAATTGTCATTTTCATTTTCGACCGGGGCGCCCCGGCTAAAATTACAGTACCTAACTAAAGTCGGTCAATTAACTCATACCACATCTATTACTTCAGACCGAAACCTTATCTGGCCAAAATACGCGGAGTATCGAGTCCCCCGCTATGCGCGTCATCAATATATCATGTACAGTATATGTATGTAAGTATAAGGTGAATAACCGTGTAACTTTACTTTTTATGGGTTGTGATGTAACATGATACGTAGTTGTTGTAAGACAGAGGAATTTTTTTCACATATCTTCCAAAAAAATTTTTTTACCTCTGACAAATAATCTTTAGCAAATAGCATATTTGTATAACCTATGTCTGAACAAAGTACCCCCATTTCTACAGCTACAACAAATAGTGAAAAACCTGCTCCCACGTTGGCTGAGTTTGTTCGGAAGTACAATAACAAGAAACTTGTTAAATTTTTGCGTGAGAATGAAGACGACCTGCAACTTGACGACACTGATTTTGAAGTCTTACGCAGTGAAAAGGTTACTGGTCGTGTTTTTCTTAATTCAACCAAGCAAGATTTTATAGATTATGGCCTGAAAGGTGGACCCGCGAAATGTCTCGCAGACTTCGCCAAGGAAATCAAAGAGAAAAAATTAAAAAGCTTTTCATCGTGCAAGACTAAGCAAGAGGTGAAAGAGGTTTTTAACAAGTTCGGATACGAAGATGCTGACATAACATCGATTTTGCCATTCAAACCAGGTATGTTAGGACATAACGATTTAATTTTTTTTTGATTAGAGATGGGCTGAACCTTAAACTGTTTATTTTTCATAGAAATTGTTGAAATCGATAGCAATGATGAAAGGCTTAAATTCTGCATAGATGATATAAAACAGAAGATAGAACTCTATGGTCCAGCATCTGAACTTAACGAAGCT